TATATGTATGTATGTATGTATGTATGTGCGTATGTATGAATGTATGTATGTATGTATGTTTGTATGTATGTATGTATGTATGTATGTATGTATGTATACATATATATGTGTGTGTGTTATGTCTGTATGTATGTATGTATGTATGTATGTATGTATGTATGTATGTATGTATGTATGCATGCATGTATATATATCTATGTGTGTGTGTGTATGTCTGTCTGTTTGTATGTATGTATGTATGCATGTATGTACGTATGTATGTATATTATATATATACATATATATATATATATATTATGTGTGTGTGTGTGTGTGTGTGTGTGTGTGTGTGTGTATACGTATATGTATATATATGTATATATATGTATGTATATGTATATGTATACATACATACATACATATTTATATATATATATATACATATATATATATATATATATGTGTGTGTGTGTGTGTGTGTGTGTGTGTGTGTGTGTGTGTGGGTGTGTATGTATATGTGTATATATATATATATATAATATGTGTGCGTGTCCTGTCACCCACATCTTTTATGTCCGTAGTGTTGCTCACAGCTGTGTTATACATCCATACATCATTCAGCTGTGTATACAACCCTTTCTCATAATCCCTACTCTCATCCATAGGTTTGCTGACCATCTCCTCGTGGTACACTATCTTCCTATCGCCCACCTACTTCATGTCTGTTGTTTGGACTGCCGCTGCTGTGTACATGGTTTATGTGTCACATAACGTTGAGGAGGATGTGGCACTGGAAGAACGAGCTCAGTTAAGGGTAAGCGCAGTTGCTATTCTGGGTGAGCGCATGGATGAGACGAACTTGGTTTTTATAGATATATCAAGTGTTGCGAGAAGAATTTCGATTTATATATATATATATTAATAGTGTTGCAACTGAGAGACTCCGTGTATGGTCTGGGGTTGTAGATCACCATTGAGCTGTGAATTGGTTTTCAGCGGTTTATTTGTTTGTGCAAGAGTCAATCATTTGTGGCGTTTTAGCCTTAGCCATCGTACAGGACGTCCCATCTATAGATAAACAGTATACATATGGATATCTCAACTCCTTCTTTTGAAGATTCGTATATTGTAGTTCTATAAGACTATGGTTATATGTACCGTTGTACCTTGAAGTAACACATGGACGCATACAAGGGCGTGTATACATATGTAAGTGTAGATACGTGTGACTGTAGATATGTGTGGATATATGTATATTTGGATGTAGTTATGGGCAGTCGCAAGCGTGCGCGCCGTAGTCAAAATTGTATTGGGGACTACGTCTAAATCAATTTAACGCCGCAACACGCGTGCACTGTATGTGGTTCCTAGTCAGCGTTATATACATCTGTAGGTGTTCTACTCAGTCTGCCTATTGGTACAGGGAAGACAGGCGTAGATCAGTTAGGTCAGCACCTGGTTACCAAACTCCTTTGAATATAACGCTATAACAGTAACGACGCGATTAACCCGGTCCGTCTGAAACACTGTAGTTTGTTGGTGTGCTGCAGTTACATCTCTGCACGGGATGTGCTCGCACGTACTATAGGGGCGTGGTGTGGTGTGTACATGTGTGATAGGAAGCATAAGCCAGGCATATTTTGCTACACAGCGTTAGAGTATACGATTTGCAGAAGACGAAGACATCAATCAGAGATATCGTCCAAGCGTGTGCACATGGCCCATCTCCGACTACACCTACACACATTCATGTTCCACGCCGTCACCGTGGCAACCATCCAACCTCCCCCCCCCCCCCCCCCCCCCCCGTTTCCCCCTCTACTTCCCCAGAGAGAGCGCAGAACCAAACTCGCAAAAATGCGGTACGACGAAAGGGTGGCCCGGGGCACTGTGTGTGGTCTGGCTGATGATGTAGACGTGGCTACCGCTGAAGTACCACACAGCGATGACCCTGTGATTGTCGTGCAACCTGCGTCCCCGGGCGTGATGAGTGCATCAGAGGCGCAGGTGTGTGTGTGTGTATGTATGTATGTGTGTGTGTGTGTGTATATGTATGCATGTGTGTGTGTGTGAGTGTGTGTATGTATGCATGTATGTGTGTGTGTGTGTATGTCTGCATGTATGTGTGTGTGTGTGTGTGTGTGCTTATGCGAAGATAGCAATGGTTCTAGCTAGAGTGTGCCGTGCGGCTTATTTTTTGCTTGTGCGTGGGTGGGTGTGTTTAGTATCGAAGCGTTAGGCACGCATGAGGGGTCGGTGGTTGGCGTACATGTTGACTTGTAGGGGTTACCTCGGCGTGTGACTCAAGTATGCTGTACGCGTTCTAGAAAGCTTCATAATACACTTCTATGCGCAGTGTCTATGCCTGCAGAACGACGCCAAAGGCCTGTTCGCACATGCAAATGTGTATTACGGATATCTAATATATGTTTTCATATCGATTTTACCTTAGCCTGATTTCAGCGCTTGAGCACATACAAAATCATAATGCACGGCGTGTGTGCGTGTGTGGATGTTAGGGTTCTAGGGTTTAGGGGTTTAGGGTTGATTTGCATCTAAACGGGTTCCGCCAGCTAGGATGGCCATGTACCACCAGGCTCACTGGATGTATTGGCGTTCACCAGGAAATTACGCGTGCGCCTGTTTGGGAGCGTATCTGTTTTGGTTTTAAGACAGCTGTTGTAGCCGTTTACTGGCGTCGATCAGGCATACGCCTATACTGAGGCAATAGGCGGCACCAGATGTGTATCATTATGTAAGCAGCAATTTCTAAATAGCCGGGTGTTGCTGAATGAATATCGGACGTGTATGGTTTGAGATAGCGCTCGGGCAAAAGGAAACACAGAAGCAATTGTGCAAGTTTTGCTTTGTCGCTTTACTTCAACGTAGGCGTATATTATGTACGCGATAGCAGTTTATTGTACTATTGTATGTAGTATTAGCTCGTTATGCTTATCGTTGCGTCCAGTTGATCTACCGATGCTCGTGTTTTACATATCCGACTTGTTCTTAAGGAATCATCACCCGCGTACTTTTTTGTGAATCTTCTTGAATACACGCGTATGCATTCAATCCGCGACCTCTGACGATTTATAAGCTATTACGATTCATACATTCGCCATAGTATACGACTTATGCTTCCCTCAATATCGATACGCGTGATATGTCATTCCACCGCTTTCACATTTGATTGCACCACCTTTGAGCATAGCTGGATGCATCATCATGTCGCGTAGATGCTGAAACTCGAGGTACACAGTTATAATTACCATCGTGCAGCTGCCAGAGTCCTATTGACCAAGCACACAACTGCCACCGTGGCCGTGTTGCCTCTTATATCTCTCATTTTATGTGACGCATGACAACGGAGTTCATATGCGTTCATTCACCATGACCAAGCATACTACCGTTGCGTTGAAAAAGGTTAGATTTCTCACTTACTCAATACCAAGTGGATCTGTTCCTGATTGCCTTATAGGCCCTTATTGTGACTACTGCTGCACATCCTGGTCGTAAAGAGAGCGATGTCATCAGTTTCTCAAGCGTTGAATCCCCGAGGGCAAACGTGCTGAGCCAGGGTATGTTATATCATAAATCTAAATGAGATTGTGTATGTGCAAGAGTTTTTTCTGTTCTATTCACTGCGTATCTTTACACACATCTGTCATGAAGAACGAGCCCGAAACTATCTGATGAGTCTCGCAATATTGCCTGGATGTGCATTTTACATTATCGGCATGAATTTGCTAATGCACAACTGAGTATGTTAGCTGACCGTGTCCAAAAGTCGCCTACTGTTACCTTGGCGCTGGATAAGTGCTATTGTATTTAGTACGCTTTATGCTGCTGTACGAAACGTGCCGATTTCTTGGGGTGTTGATTCGATGATACACTTTCCTATGCTGCACTGCATTATAATATATTTCCTTTAGGTTTGCAATCTACGACTTTTTATCGGCAGCTACCATTTGTTTATATCCAAAATTTTACATGGGATATCTATTGGAATCTTTTTTTTATCAGAGGAGTACTAGGTAATAGTGAAAAAGCGATGGAAACTTCGACTGCTTTCAAGTAATTCCATGTTTCCGATTCGATATTTTGTACATCGTTATGCAGTCGTACAAGACGCGGCCCATTTATCAGGCGAAGCAAAGAAGGATGCGATTCAATCTAGTCTTAGCGATCAATCAAGTAGGCTGGCCAGCGCTATCGTGTACGGCGACACACCATCGCATTATATCGAGTCTAGTGACGACTCAGATGGATCGTACCACTCGGCTGTTGGTGCAGTGAATACCTCAGACTCGACTTTAACAGGAGAATAAAAACGAAATTAATCATGAACCATTACATCATATTGTGTGGCGAACTTCTCATGCTTGATGGCTATATTATATATATATACTTGCAACATACTATTAGCGGGTGTATTATAATCGACTTACTGCTAAAATATAGTCTATGATGATTTGCTCTTGCCAAATAAGCATTCTCTGAGAACGCTGCAGATATGTCCTGCAAGTGAATTTTCTTTAGGATGTACACATATTAACATGGTAACAAACCAAGTAATTTACTGTATCAAGGACATTATGAAGAAATACCGAGATATCTAATGATGTCATATGTAATATTCTAAGTGGTCGTACAATGCGCTACTGTGAGTGTACTGTAAATTCTGCGCCAGTAATGTTGGCGTACATGTCGGCAGGTGGCAGAAAGTGTTGAGGTATGATGACTTTTGGGTAGTTCAGATAGTTTACTCTCATATGATACCGGTGATAACTTCTGCTGGCGTTTATGTTGTGGACGGCGCTCGCGATATTGTAGCACTCCACAGGCTTTCGCTGTAGAATTCACAAAGATTATCGCAGCAAAGCATAATACATACAATAAGAAAAATGCCGTACAGCTGACTGTATTGGATTATGGACGTCGATTTGATCAGTGACGATTCAAACAGATCACTGCAGATAGCCGACATCGGAGATACCCACCTGTTCTATATATAAATAGTTTGATATCCATTATTTTATAAGAACAAAAATTAGTTGTATATAATGTACACGGGTACACAACATCGGATCCATCATAATCCAAAGGGCTATAGGAGTGGCAAACATCAAACATTGGGCAGAGGAGACAACCGGGGATTTTTACTATTGAGGTTGGCCCCAGAGGTCCATGAAAAAATATTATTACATATCGGCAGATCGACGATTCAAATTCTTCGCACTGACGAGTGGGCTGGCACCATATGAGGTCGCGACATCTCTGAAAAATGTTGTAAACAACCGTCGCGACGTGTCGGCTGAAACACGTCGTATGTCGCGTAGACATACGTACTCGACTTGTTGTCAACTTGTCATCATACAGTCGGAAAATTTTCAGAATTTTCTTGTTCCCCCATTGGTAATCGATGAAAGGTCCCGTGGTGATTGGCGAAATTTTCAGATATTGATGATTCAGAAAGTCTTATTTCTTCAATCCTGAGTCGGCCATTGGACATGTCGCGTAGCGCGACATGTCGCCAACAAGAATATGTAAACGACTAAACGACCGTCACCGGTCGCGACGCTTCGCCAACGACTATTTAAATATTTAGACATGTCGTTTATTGTCCAGTTCGGGACTGGTAAAATTCTCAAGCAACGTCTTGCTTTTTTTTTTACCTGTACATACATATTTTGTTTAAAAAATTAAAAAATATGGAGGGAGGAGGGGGGATATTTTTAATTTTGTTTTTTTAAAAAGAACTTTTTCATAGCCTCCATATACATACCTTATTTTTTAAATCTGAAACAGTCAATGACTCTAAATTAATTCTATATGACTCTATTACTCGTGATACTATATACAGTGGATCCTCGCTAGTTGTCAATTGTTTAGTTGTCCATTTTGATAGATGTCAACTTTCATTTTCGCATCGGTCAATAATTTTTTTCAGTACTATCATTAGCTCTACTGCTGACAGTATATCCCTTTTGGTATAGAAGGACTGAATATCATATAAAACAAATCATTTCTCATGTATAGAATTATGGGCCACGCTACCATGACGACACACACTCGTTCCTCGGTGCAAATATAATTACAAGTACGTACAGAATATTTTTAAATTATCACAGTTGTATACACATACACCCTTTTACACGCATAACTATCACGATGTCTAGCACAGGTAAAAGTAAGTTCGTAGAGTTAAATATGGAAAAGAAGAATCTCAAATATGATAGGTTTGGTTACCAATGTATTTTAATGGGTGATTTATGATTTTAAGACCATTTTTGAAGAAGAAAAACATCATCAATGTAGCATCAATTATGCATCTATAGCTCGTCCTGTAGCATCACTGTGACAACGACAACGAAACGTAAACATCTTTGTATCGTATAGTCAGCCTAGAGGAGACCGACTTTTACAGTTTTGACCACATTTTTAAGTGACCGAACTACCGTATTTGTTATACTACGTTCTTTATAGGTTAAATCAACTAAAAAGCAACTTAGTTTACTTTTTTTTTCTTTTTTACAACGATGACGGGACCCGAGACTAAACCGTTGCCTACGGTGGGTAAGCAAGCCTGTGACCAGCTGCTGAAACGGTTGCTTGGAGCCATTTGCCATTTGACCAAGCTATGTGATAATGTGGATACAGCACGTGCCAAGCAACCTGCACCCGTAAATGACGAGAAGGTGTGAATCCATTTGAAATTGGCACATTTGCTTTTGGAGGCTCAGTACTCAATCCGAACCTTGAGTAGACTTAGCCGAGCCCTGGCATGGATGCGGATCAAGCAGGACACTTGCTTATGTTGATGCATGTGAAGGAGGCAAAGGAAAAGAGCCGCCTGATTCAAGAGCAACTCCACCAACTCCGTCAATTGCCCCTGATAGATATTGACTCCTCTATGCCCCCAGGACACGGCCCAGGCGACAATAGATGATGATTTTTCTGAGACTGAGGTCAAACCAACAGTACAACACCAATTGGCTACTCAATACCCAACACAGTCAGAGTTGTCACCAACCGACCAGTCACCTGACAGCAGGGCTATCGACATGATGCAAATTAGTCCGGTGAAGCGCAGGGTTAGTCGCACGAAGACCGTACCTCAAGTGGCACCTTACGAGAATGTCCGTATTACGCGCAGAGAGCGGTTGCTGAAGAATGTACAAAATCGAGCCCAGACAATTCCGACTCCTGATGAGATGCCGGCTGATGGTCCGGATTGGTATCAGAAATCAACAATGGTGAAATCGCCTGAAGACTTTCTCAATAACGGTAGATAGACGGACACCCAAGGAATGGCCACGTAATCCACAGGGCAGCTATTATTTGGATAATCCGCAGAAGATACAGATGCATGCGTTTATTTTGGATTGGCATAAGAATGCAAAATTTCATAAACTAGACTCATGTGCAGATAGGCCTCCATATGGCGCTACAGAAAGAAGGAGCACCCAAGGCACTAATAGATTTTATCGCGGAGAACGAACAAAATTTGCAGTCCCATGTCGTTTCAGGACGCCACTGCTTATATTGTACGCACACACGAACAAGATCTGGATGGTATTGCATACAAAAATGTATTGGTTTTCATGAAGTTAACCCCTTGGTGCCGCTAGAGACACTTCAAAATGAGCTATATAGTTATATAGCATCAATCTCCCTTAGGTGTATGTTAGTAAGTATTAAAGGGGTACAAAGACTAGAGTGGTTGTGTTTATGGTTAAATCTTTAAAAAATAGAAAAAAGATGGTATATGAAAAGACTAATAAGTCATATTGGAAGATATAGCCCAATTGTAGAGTAGTAATATTTTTACTAATTTAGTTAATTGTGAGTTTGGGGCCGATTTTCTCAAGAAGACCTCTATCTATTAATTTGTAAGATATTAGGTAGCCAAAGTGTACAGTGGTTTTAGCAATAAAGGAATTATGAATAAAATCTATATAACATCTGTTGGATAAAATTGAGTAAAGTTGATGATTAGAAATTTTAATAGAAAATAAAAGTGGATTAAAAGCATAATAAGTAAGTATAGATTAAAAAGGCCCCAGAAAGGGAAAATATAATGGTAGAAACTCGGATTATATTATAGTAATATGTCTGGGCAAAATAGTTAAAGAGTTATTTCAAAAATTCGTAGCCATTCCTACGAAACTATCTCTAGTAAAATATCCTTTAAAAATACTAAGGAAAGCTAAAGAAACCAGGATGATTATAAGATGAGATGAGATGAGATACTTCCTTGCGGATTCTTATAAACCCGAAAGGGTAGGGTATGATGTCTACATATCCAATTTATAGCTGACTAAAAGGAAGAGATGTATATTTTTACCCATAAGCAGATGAGACATGATATTCACTGTGTCTGGGTATATAGGGAATGATCGTGATCGGTAGAGAGCAATCTAGATTCCTCCCGGGGGTCAGGATAGTGAAGGAATTGTTATTTAGCTAAGAAGGAGAGGGAATGGTGCTGCCTGCGGAAGCCCTTGCTTCCATAGGATTGCGGCTTATCATAGTGGCGGTCGCTATCGTAGGTTTTGTAAGCCATGCGAAAAGGTATATGACTAATAACTCAAGGGATGTCGAGGATATACTAGTACACAAATTCACAGCGACCATGACAGCAAATTACTGTGGATCGTACGTGACAACAAGGAATAAAAGTGGTACACTTGTCTTGTAAGCGATGCAAATGCAAGGCGGAATTTGGAGAAAGAAGGTAATCCATCTGCGGGTACAAGGTCACGGCTAGTAGTTCGGGCTGCCAACCTACAGTCTACAGTCCCACCTGTGCCGACTCGCTCACCGACAATATTGATGGGCAGCTCTATCACTTCGCTTTCCTATAGTGCAATTAGTCACATTGGTTATGTTTTTATTAGCTGTTTATCCGGGGTTGAAAGACAAACTGCATCCACTTTAATTTTATACATGTTTATATATATGATTACCTCTGTGGCTTTATATGCTCTGATTTTAAGTTTAAAAAAACATTTAAATTCTAACCCCTTAAATTATATTATTGAATTATACGGTTTATCCCGAGCACAACCTCTTCTTACTATTAGTTTAGCTTTTATTGTTCTATCTTTAGCCGGAATACCACCATTAGCCGGCGTTTTCGCCATGTGATTCATATTCACTGCTGCGATTAAAAATGGATGATACATATTCGGCATTTTAGGTATTCTTACTTCTGTGGTTGCTTCTGTTTACTATTTAAAATTTATTTCTAAAATGTATATGGATGGCGGAGTAGAAAAAATAACACTCACTGAAGAGATTAAAAAAACGTATATTCTAATCAAATGCTGTCGCCAGACGGCATCCACACCCAGATCTCTCCCAAGGGAGGGGTCGAGGTTCTAATAGAAATTTTAAGTCCAATACAGAAGGTTGAGGTTTCTAAATCTTTTGTGTTAGGCGCCTCCTTGTACCATATTATATTTATATTGTTTGTTCCTAACTCTATTCTATTACTAACACAAAAATTGACTTTTACTTTTGCTACTTTTTACTTTATTTGCAAGTGTCTCTAATCTCATTTAATTAGCATTAGGACCATCTTTATCAGTAGAATCCGCAAGGATGTATCTCATCTCATCTCATCTTATAACAATCCTTCCTCAAGGCGGGTTCCCTCTACTATCCCTCGGGATGTCCATCCTCATCCCTACGGTAGAAGTAATCCACCTAGAAGTTAACGAGAGGTTCAGGTA